TATATAAAAAAAAAAAATTCTAAAATTACATTTCCAAATTCTAAAATGAAAATTTGCATGACAAAGTTGGAGGACCAATATAAAAAAAAAATTCTATCGTGTTTGAGAAGTATTTATAAACCGTATAAATGGATAAAAATGAATGATAAATAAGTGAATAGTGCTCGTACTTTTGAAATTTATGAATAGAATCTGGCTTAATTGTTTATAAACTTGAGCAAAAATAGGCTAAGTTTGTGATCCAATTTCAAGTAGATTGCTTGACAAAGTTTTTAATAAAAGTTTTAACAGATTTTAATAAAAATTGATAAAATGTCTCATAAAATGTGCGACTATATTTGAAACCTATTTAACATATAATAACTTTTTGGCAAAATTTTATCACACAAACACAACATATATGCTTGACAGTTTGTAAATGATTTTGGATATAAAATAACAGGTTATACATAACGTTTATATAGTTTGAAAATGACATTGATAATATTGGCATTGTTTTCCTTAATATAGTGAGTTGATTGTTTTTCTTTGGATAAGGGTTGTCATAGAATCTTTTGCATTCTACTCGTACGTCTTTTTATGTTCCTATCTCTTTTTTCATTAATTTTTCTTTTTTTCTTTCCCCTTTAATTATTACCAATAGGTCTCTTTTAATAGTTAGGATCTTATAAAACTTCAAGAAATTTTATTTTTAAGAACAAAAATATTTTGTAATAATTTAGTTTGGTTGTCTCGTTAAAAAGGGTCGTCAAGAAAGTTCGCAAGGTAGAAGTTCTCGTCGCTAAAATGAATTTTATTGTAGCGTAAACAAGTAGACAAAATTACTATCTCGTTGGTATTGAATTTGATTAAAAACATTGTAGTGTATTTGAGCCACATTATTTTGGAAGAATGTATTTTGAAATAGTAGATTGATGGAGAATGCGTGGTTGAAAAAAAAGGAAAAGTTATTGATATGATGGAAAATGTTATTTTATTGAAGAATGTATGGTTGAAAATGAGTGGAAGAATGAGAATGAAAATTTTAATGTGGCTCAAACAGGGTTGTAATAGATTTATTTTTAGTTTTAATCTAAATTTGTATTCGAAAAAAAACATTTAAGTCGATTTCATATGTTCCAATTCTTTTAGACTTCAACTACATCGATATGATAACTACATCTCATCATTTATATTAACCAAATGAAAATGACAAAATACAAGTATATCATCATATCGATAAAGATGCAAAGTAATTTGAAAGCAAGAAAAAAGCAGGCAGTTTTTACATCAACATCTATATCGAAGCATTTTTTTATATTGTTTTGAAATAATTTTCCTTTCTTCATTGCAATCACGCTTATATTAACGAGTAGTTAACTTTTCTCGTAAATTCTTCGATCAATGCATCGTCTAAAGTGTTGATGGTTTCCGACATCCATGATTAATGTTAATTGGATCATTATCTAGTCAAACTAGTCATGATTTGTTAATATTTGGATTATTCATTGTCTTTTATAATTATAAGTTTGGATTATATACACTATTTATGCACAGTCTTGATGTTTAATTATGTAAAGCAGAATTGAAGAAGGAATTCTTTTAACTTTTTTTATATTACAAAACTTGGAAACTTTTGTAGACATGACAGCTTATAATAATGTTACCCAATGAGTTTCTACCACTTGTTTTTCATGTGATATATTCACGTGATTTTTTCCTATTATCCTTAAAATGTGTGCCTTTCCACCAATGTCCACCTACCAATTTACATACCGATAGATTGTTGATTTGATTCATTACCTGCACTTTCTTCCCTTTATTTCGTTGGCCGTACTCCCGCGACACAAATTTATTCAATAAGTTTATATAGTATCGATCGATGAGTATGAGCCGAATCTTTACACATTTCGATCTTTTTTTAGCACGAATTATTCAAAGAATCAGGTCGAGCATGTACGAGTCTTGATGTCGTTTGAGACGGTCGAATGAGCCACTATAAGTCCTGACTTGTGTTGGGGCAGCCAAGAAAGAATAGCTATAACATGTGACACAAGAGGAAAAAATTTAAAATTTTATCTACTATCTTTTGCAATTTATTATAGTGTTTGCTTTATGGAAGGAATGATGGCAAGCTATCAAATCATGAAATTTTAAAACTATAGTGCTCTACCATCATCAACTCTTTCTTCAAAGATTAGTCTCTTGCCACATATATAGCATGACCACACAGTTTCTTTATGATTCTACTGAGATGATTAACTCGTCACGCCAGAATTAGGGTTTTCACAAACGATGATATAAATTGGAGATGTTCAACTCGAGTAATAAAAAGTACGAGTAGTGATATAATGCAAAGAAATGTCGAATTTCGTTGCCTTGACGGGCACAACTCGTGGAACGTATAGAAAAAGGGCCTTATAGGCCACCTTAAAACCGCTTCGACTCGACTTACACTTCTAAAGCTTCACCTTGTATTTTATAGTGAAAGAGAACGGGATCGAAATTATACCAGCAAAATAATTAAAAAGCTGACAGGGTCTGTGATGCTAACCCTATCCATTTCATTTCAGAATTATTAGTGGGTCAAACCTTGCTGGGCAATGGGACTTAAAGTATATATGTAACCTCGTCAGATAGAAGATTTCGGTGAAAATGATTTAAATAATCTGTAGGCGAAAGAGATTATGAGAAAAAAAGCAGAGTCAATCATAATTAATTTTATGCTCTAGGTATTACGTTTACACTGTATTCAAATACTATTTTCCTCAACATAATCATTCATTAATCCACTAATGAATAAGTCTCTGTCTTTCTCTCCCACAGCTCAGAGTTTAGTCTCATTGCTTTTCGTTCATAAATATTGTACGTATCAGACTTTTAAATATATATAAATTCCAAGTTGCGTGTGAGTAAACATGCTGAAAACTAAAAAATTATATAAATAAGTTCGATTACAGCTATTTATTGAAATTGCACACCTGCCAAACTTTTGATTGAAAATGAATACAATTTGTATAGATACGACGTTATATATCCGACTCTCAACAACACTATATATACTAAATCTGCCTCCATTTTCTAGCACTTCTTCGACATTTGAGAGAGAGAGAGAGAGAGAGAGAGAGAGAGAGAGAGAGAGAGAGAGAGATGGAGTTCAGTATTCTTGAAGAGTTAATGGCTCCAAGAATAGAAAGTTGGGCTGCTTTTCCTAATGAACTTAATGAAGTTTTACCAAATGTTTGGAGCTTTACATCTTCTGATCATCAAACCCCAGATTTTGAGATGTCAAATCCTTTTCTTTTAGAACAATTTAACCATCGATATCCCTTTTATGAACCCCAAACATTTCTTGATAATTTCACAGTCCCACAATTCAGTTCTTTATACAACTATCAGAATGAGAATTCAATGCCAATTCAAGAAGATTACACTGCAAATCTTGAAAATGAAGATTTTGGCTTTCTTGACAATGCCGCCCTAAATGGTTTCGAACATGAAACTAGCAGCTTTAAGGCTGAAACCTCGGAAGCTCCGAAAAATATTGACGTCTCAAATGTAGGTTTTTCTATGGAGAGAAAGAACAAGTCCAAGAAGCCTGATGGCCTGCCCTCCAAGAATCTAATGGCCGAAAGAAGGCGAAGGAAGCGACTAAACGACCGTCTTTCCATGCTTCGATCAATTGTCCCCAAGATAAGCAAGGTAAATTATAAATTTAGGATCGACTACATAAATTCCATTTTTTTAGCGATAAATATGATTTTTTATTATGCAGATGGACAGAACATCAATTCTTGGAGATACAATAGATTACATGAAAGAGCTCCTTGATAAAATCAATAAGCTGAGGGAAGAGGAAATAGATGAGAATATGAATCAGATGAACTTGAAGGAGATAAAGCCAAGTGATGATCAAGTACTAGTGAGGAACCCTTCAAAGGTATTATTTTAATTTTTTTTTTTTAATACTCACGTCATTTTTCTTGAAGTTCTCTGTCGTGAAATGATTTATTTAATTTCGATATTTCAGTTCGATGTAGAAAGGAAAGACCAAGATACTCGTATCGATATGTTTTGTACATCAAAGCCGGGATTATTATTATCAACTCTTAGCACACTCGAAGGATTAGGCCTCGATATTCAACAATGTGTCATCAGCTGTTTCAATGATTTCTCATTGCAAGCTTCCTGTTATGAGGTTAATAATTAATTCATGTTATTGATTTTCACATACTAACTAGTAACTAGTGTACTTTAAAATTCGAAACTGCGAAACTAATCTTTTTTTTTTTTCATCTTAAATTTTCAGGCAATCGAGCATCGTTCAGTCATGAGTTGTGAAGATGTAAAGCAAGAATTGTTTAGAAATGCTGGCTATGGAGGAAGGTGACTGCACAAAATATGAATTTGGATAATAAATAAAGAATTTTTAGAACCCTAAGAAAGTGAAATGTATGTTCTTTGTGGTGATTTTTATATTTTAATTAATGATGCTGTCTTTTTAAGGTTTGTTTATTCATTGATTGGATCTAGGTTTTTGTGCATTGTCTCTTCCATTGCAAATCTTTATTAATGACCAGATATTCTTATACATACAAAAAATAATAGTAAATTATGAAAGGGAATGTGATTATATATATTTTAATGATTCTCATTATTATTGATAGATATATATATATCATATTTCAGCAACTTTCAAAAGTATTTTACATGAGAAGCAAAAAACACTAATGACTTAAGGAAAATTGTATTGTTGGCCCATGTACCGTTGCGGAGTATCAAGTTGGTTCTCGACCTTTAAAGAGGAACAAGTTAGCCCTCCACCATTTCTCGTCGTTCCATTAAATTTTCATTAATCGTCACATGGGTGACCCTAATAAAAGCATGTCTCATTTCAAATTCCTAGACACATGTCCAAGTTGAGATAAAATATGTAATTTCATAAAGTTAAGACATGATAATATGTGATGATTTAACATAAACTTTGAAGTTTTTGCGCCGATGACTAATTATATATTATATCAGTAGGATAAGAACCAACTTGTTCCTCAAGTCTAGGGATTAATAGTGCGATTCGCTAATTGACGGTCCTTGTTTGGCCTTCATTTTTTAAAATTCATTTTCAATCACACGGTCTTTCAATAAAGTAATTTTACAAATACGTATTAACCACACATTCTTTAAAAAAAAAAATTTCACGAAATCTATTATAAAGTATTTTTCAATTGATGGATAAGAACTTCAAATTACTTAGGGGATGTTCTCTTTGTGTTTCAATTTTGTATTTTGAATTTATTTTGAATTTTGTGTTTTGAGTGTTCATTTTGAAATTGTTGAAAAATGTATTCTTTTTGGTATTTTGAAATTTTTTTTGAAAACACGTTTTGAAAATTTTGATTGGATTATAACTGAAAACACTCAAAACGACAATTTGTCATTTGGATTTTCTTTGTAAATTTTTAACTTGTTTTCAAAAACGCGTTTTCGAAAATAGGAAAGATAACGCTTTTTCACTGTTTTGAAAAATCGAAAATAGAAAACGACTTGAAAATCGTAAAGAAAACAAGCCCTTTATACAACAATATATATTTGTAAATGGTGATGACTAATTGGCCCATGCGATGGCTATATCTATAGATGTTGATATTCTAAATTACATAATAAATTCTCACAGCTGTACGACTCGTTTATGCATGCAGACAAGAGTATGCAATAATTAATTTGATCAAATTCATTAATTTTTGTTTCCCAAGCCAATCATATGGATTTTTTTAATTAACGGTTCCATCAAGATTAGGTTTAAGACATTGACTACAATGCACGAGTTCACTTAAATAATGAACCAGATGCCAGAAAAAGTTGATAAAATTGGATATTGACACTATTAAAATTATATTAAATTAGAAAAAGAGTTAGATTTTGACAATGGCAATGTGTAGTAGTACGATCTAACATTACTAGGCTAACATGCAAATAAAAGTGTTTTAAGTGTCCATTTTGAAATATTTGAAAATGTATTCTTTTTGGTATTTTGAAAAATTATTTTGCGAACACCCAAAACGCGTTTTGAAAATTTTGACTGGATTATAACTCAAAATACTCAAAACGACAATTTGTCATTTGGATTTTCTTTGTAAATTTTTGACATGTTTTCAAAAACGCGTTTTCGAAAATAGAAAAGATAACGCTTTTTCACTGTTTTGAAAAATCGAAAATAGAAAACGACTTAAAAATCGTAAAGAAAACAAGCCCTTGTATACAACAATATATATTTGGAAATGGTGATAACTAATTGGCCCATGCCATGGCTATATCTATAGATGTTGATATTCTAAATTACATAATAAATTCTCACAGCTGTACGACTCGTTTATGCATGCAGACAAGAGTATGCAATACTTAATTTGATCAAATTCATTAATTTTTGTTTCCCAAGCCAATCATATGGATTTTTTAATTAAAGGTTCCATCAAGATTAGGTTTAAGACATTGACTACAATGCACGAGTTCACTTAAATAATGAACCAGATGCTAGAAAAAGTTGATAAAATTGGATATTGACACTATTAAAATTATATTAAATTAGAAAAAAAGTTAGATTTTGACAATGGTAATGTGTAGTACGATCTAATATTACTAGGCTAACATGCAAATAAAGACAGCTCATCTATGAAAAGGTAGTAACGACGATCATGAGATGAAATTTTGGATGGCATAAAAGGTCGGTTTTATTAACAACATTTTTATTGAAAATATATTTTAAATGGTGAGTTAAAGCATAAAACCGCTGCCCATTTATGAAATTATCATGTAGATGGAAAAATGTATTCAATCTGGATGGGAAGGGATATAATGAAGATACGTATAAAAAGAATGAACAAATTTCTTTCAACTTAATAGTTTAAACTCTTAAATGAAGCGATGAAGAGTTTCCAAGTCAGTTGTCCCTAAGATATTCCATCACTCATTTTTTGTCGACAACGTTGTGTTTTTTTTTTGTAGTAAGACTCCATGGATTTTCTTAAAATATGACATTATCCTTTGATTTTATTTATGTAGTAAGATGGAATTATGAAACCTCATAAAGAATTATGTTTTAATGTTTAATTAACTTAATATATGTGACCCTACACCTGTACAATAGTCAACAAAAGGAAACCAGAAATCATGGGTTTTTTTGTATCTGTTAGTTCCTAAAAATTCTAATAGATAGCGACCTCTTGTCCTTTAACATAAATTTCTAAAAATGGTTCATGAACTTGGCACAAAAAAACACACAAGCATGATACTTCAACAAGACAGCAGAAATTCTGCTATATGATACTGCTGTGTTTGATTCTTTGAATCTTTGTCGTGGTGGGAAGCGGTGTAAAAAAGGATCGGACAAACCAGGCTTTTCTAAGCAGACGCGCAAGCCAAAAGTCTTTGATTCTTCATTTTTCTTAGGTTGTGGAATGGCGTGCCAGGTCAGGCTCGCCTTGCACGGCCACCTGATAGAGGACTATACCGAGCCATTTACACCCCTAGATCAACATCAACATTAAACTAAATCTAATTCTCAATAAGATTTAGTTCTCAATAAATTTGAAATCGACTAGATTGTTCATTTTTCTTCACTCCAAGATCCAATGAACTTACATCCCCATTTCAAAATTTAGAGACGTGCACATGCCAATTCCCAGCAACTGACTGGGATCAGCTATCAGTTTACAGTTATGAAGATTAAACAAAAAGAAAGGACTAACACACCCCGATACCTAGTACTGAATCACCCAACAACAGCAAATTGTACTGCAATTAACAGGAGTGAAAATAACATTCATGAGTAGGCATTTTTTATTTCTTACAGAAATGTAATACATAAGAAGGATACATGAATCAAATATGGACAGTTTATGCTAGATTACTTAAGCAAGCTATCGCTAAAAATGAGATTATGACTGATTAAAAGAGAAGAAATTATAAAAATCCGACTCCACCTTCATCCTCATCCTCATCACTAAGAAAGCAATTGTTATCAATGTCGCCAACACTTATTTTGCTCGACTGCTGGCTCTGGAGCTGCTGATTGATAGCTTCTTGAGTATCAAATATCAGAGCATCTTTTGCAGCTTTAACAGCATTTCCTTTTTCGAAATTACTGTTGTTTTTGTCATTTTTGCTCTTAATACACTTGGCATTCTTTAATGATGCTGCCTTTCTCCTTGCTTCCCTCCAATGTAGCTGATCTATGTATTTCTCATGTAATGCCTTGTTTTTAATCTGTTTAAGAACCGGGGGACTTAGAAAAGCTGTGTTGCACGAGCTCTTTAATTGTGAATGTTGCTTCTTATGAGAAGAAGAAGTTTTTTCCTGGCATTTTTTGAGGAAAACAATTCCTTTGTTGCTCTGTTGTGGGGTGGCAAATGCAGTACTCTCATGAAAACATTGAGTAGACGGACTTGTTCTCGGCTCAAGAACTGTAAACAAATCTGCTTCATAATCTTGATCCGTATTCTGCTGCTTTTCTAATAGTTGTCTTACGGTCTTTTGGGCAAGAAGGCCCTTCCTCTTGCTGGATCTAAATTTTTTAAATTTTGTTTCAGCAGAATTCAGCAATTTACTTGTAGAAAGCGAGAGGGGTGATTCATTCTTTCTCCTTGCCCTTGAACGAATTCGAGTTTGAGATGGGGTCAAGTTTTCTGATTGAATTCTATCGAAACATTCATGTGCAGATTTTCCAGGGACCTGCGTAGAATCCCAATGTTGATTCAAGATCATTAATCAACAAAGGAGCATACTTCAAATCTTACAGTCACAAAAGGACAGGCAAATTCTTGTTATTGTTCCCAAATTTCTGATGCTAATTAAAATCAAGGGATAAGAAAAAATTATCTCCACAATAGATGTGAATGTTATCCATGATTCAAATAAAATAAAATAAAATAAAAACCTACAATTTTTTACGTTACAATTAAGATTTTACATAAGCAATCTAGAGGCACTCGCACTTGCACCTTACGAAGTCACAACTTAGAATCATAAACATTAACAATCACAAATTAAGTGATGCAGACCCATTTATGCCTTCATGATGAATGCATAAGTATTGAAAACAAAGAGCTAGCAGATGACAAGATGAAGGTAATTGAAGCCAAGGTTGGAAAAACGAATATAGTTTCTATCTTTTATTCTATAAAAGTTGGGTCCACTAAGAGCACAAAGCATCTCCAAAAGATCATTTATTTATAATGATTATTTTATGCATAATAAAGAGCATCTTTAAATTTAGAGAGAAATTTTTTTTATATACTTCAATAATGTTCTCTATTTTGGTTCTTCATTTTGTTTTTATAAAGAAACATTTATAATTTCTCCTCATCTTTAATGTAATATATTTTTTTTTATTTCAATAACCAATCAATTCAAATATAATTTGAATAATTTAAGAAGTAAAGTATTGAAATGTTTAACTTATTAAGCCCTTGTTTGATCCCATTTTTTATAAAATATATTTTTCCATCTCTTTTTTTCAACCACACATTCTTCAATAAAATAATATTATACGCAAACCTAAATGTTTACTTATTTTTTAACCATACATTCTCTATCAATCTACTATTTCAAAATGCATTTTAGACAAAAAATATGGCTCAAACAGGCACTAAATGCATTCATTTTAAAGTAAGAATAGCAAGGAGAGCCAAACCTATTCTATTTTGAAGAGTTAAAATAGAGTCTCTTGAAACTTATTTTTAAATAGAATATACAGTATCTTGTATTTAGAAGGTCTCTTGGATATGCTTTCACTAGGATAACAGGGAGAGAACAAGACAAAGAAGTCCTACATTCATTGCAACTGGTTATCACAATCAGTTTAGTGAAGTCTGGGCTGCATATATTTGTAGTTGCCAGTACTCATGCCAGGACTCAATGTAAAATATAGGATTTCCAATCCTAGCAGGAATCATACAACATATTTTTCTCTCTGTTAATCATTTTGTTGACTTTGCTGTTAAAGCGTGCATACTCAAGTAACAATCAGAGGTTGAATTCCATTCACCCCCAAGTGATGGAATCAATTCCACACTCCCTTTGAAGTTTGAAATACATGAGCCTTTTTGGTGTGGATGATGTCAAGGGATGAACATTCTAATGGCATTTTGGTTAAGTGAAAGAAAGACCGTTGAAGGAAAAAAAGAAAAGAAAGATAGGGAAAATCTAAAAGGCCCTACATATATGTTCCATCGAAGAAAATCGAGAACATTTTTTGCTTTCCATTAATGCTCTCGTACACTATATTCAATAAAAATTAGCTCATGTATTCAAATTTAACGAAAAAATTTAGGGAAAATAGGAAATCATGTTTTACTTCTCTAAATATTGTGCATTTCAGCAAGCACAGGATTAAGTTTCATTCTCTGCCAGCAAATGAGCGGTCTTGCCATCATTAGGGGCTGGAGCTGTTAAATCTTCAAAGACAGATAACAAGGGAAGTCTTGGAAATTCAGTTCCAAAAGAGCACGAATTGTCTCACTGCCAATAAAGCTATACTGGTTACACTAATAAGATTCATGAATTCTCTGTTCCCCTCTCTATTACTCACCCCTTCTCGACAGTTTGGCTGACTTTGACTGGTTTTCTTTTAGTATTTCTCCGTCATGAGTCAACAACTGATTTGAGACTTATTAAGGGAAAAAAATATGTCCACAGCAAGATTTCCAGTTATCAAAGGATCGGTGCTGCAATGCCCTGGAAAGGCACTAGTAAAGGTCCAAACTGCATCATTTTAGTAACTAGAAAATAAAAACTAACTAAAGCCCCTTTCGTATTCTGTTTAGCAAAGCCGCCTCTACATATTCGTATTATTGTTTCTGCTAAAATGATGCAATTTTGGTGGTTGCATTAACTCCTTTTCAGTTGCATAATGACACTGCAATGATGTTAGATCCTATATTAAGAACCCTAGGCTAAATTGTCAAAGAACTAGCATGAAAAGCAATACACAGTCGTAAGTATTAGAAACGTCAAGGGTGTAACGTAGAGATATATTACCATCCGAGAGACTTTTTTCCAGAAGTTAGGCGTTGGCTTTGCAGTAAAATAAGCTCTTTGCAATGTCAATTCTTGTTCCTTAGTCCATCCTAGAATAATACTATGCTCTTCCTCAATTCGACTTCTACTCTTGTTCTCGTGGATTGACGTCTTTCTTTTGCATCCATTCCCTTCCTTTTCATCTCCTCCTCCCCTTATAGCATCGCATTCACTATCATCAAAATTACTTGTACTTTGTTTATGTAACCCTTTCACCTTTCCTTTATCCAAACACTCAGTCGAATCATTGCTGCCCTTCTCAATGTGCTCTCTAAATGCCGCTTGATTAGGACTAGTAACAATCCTTTTCTCAGTTTTACTCTCAAATTGCACTGACAAATTGACACCCAATTTAGCCTTCCGTTCATCTGATAAAACCCTCACTCTCTTACTGCAATCACCCTTCGGAATGCAATCAGTAACATCAATAATGACATTATTCTCCCGAGTCAAACTTCGAGTCACCCTCCTTTCTATCACATATTGTTTCCCCAAATCCACGCCTTCTCCATTTTTCTTCACATCAGCTCTGCCATCAGATCTCGCGTATCTTCTTGACCCATTACCCAAAATTTTCAATCTTTTCGACAGATTATCCGTATCATTTAGCTTCTTTGAAACTTCTTCTTTGCTTCTCCGAGTCACCCCATCTTTCCCATTGTTTCTCACATCAGCTTTGCCATCAGATCTCGTGTATCTTCTTGACCCATTACCCAAAATTTTCGTTCTTTTTAACACGATATCTGTATCCTCTCGCTTCTTGGAAACTTTTCCTTTCTCGGTTTTGTTTGAACTATTGTGCAATGAGGAGTTAATAGTAGTGGAACAAGAATCGGGAACCCGAATTTTCCTGGATTTGGAATTTGGGGTTACTGGGTTCTCTTGTTCGAATTGATTGAACTGGAGAAACCTCGGGGATATTCTGAGAACAGTTGTGGGTACTTTTTCTGTGGGCTTGAATTTTTGTTCGGGCATTTCTACAAACATGAATTGTGCAATGTATGAAGAAATGAAGAAGATAGAGAGAGGGAAAATGTGAAAATTTAAACTTGACAGAGCTACAATGATTCTAACAGCTATGTGATCTAGACGAATAATGGAGTTAAATGTTTCATTGCGACCGAAGTTTAAACAATGTCACGACTTACTCACAAAACTTTCAAAATTATCCCATTAGCCACTGAACTTTACTTTGTTACTATCCATTACTCATCGGTTGAAATCTATTAATAGAAGTGCTGACGTGGCGAACGGAAAGTTGAGCTGGCCGGTTAATTGTCTCCAAATGTGATGTTAATTGCCAACTCAGCTTCAAGCCAGCATGATAAAACAGGCATTTCACTTTGATAACACAAAATAAAAACTAGAAACGGGAAGAAAATCAATTTCGTTTCTTGAAAACTTCTTAATCGAAATCGAAACCAAAACCCAAACACAGTCTATGTGGCGCTAATGTGGCATTAAATGATATGTGAAATTAAATAAGTCATTTAATTTCACATTTCATTTAGCCTATCATTTAATGACACATAGACTGTATTTTCATCTCCACTGGGGATGAATAACATTACTCAAATCAATTACCCAAGGTCCTCCCGTCATTGTTGACTACTCCAAGAGTCCAACCCAAGCGAAAAGAAGCACCACCCATTTCATTTCTGTCCTTCAAGCAAATGGACGGGCCACACAATGGTAGTTCCCGAACTTTTTTTTTTTAGTGCAAAGGAAGAGTTCATAAGGTGATCTGACTTTGTGACAATATTGTTATTTAAAGAAAAATATTGGAGGTAATATTGCCATTACTTTCTGTAATTTTCTAAATCTTTATCGTGTTTGTTGTTATGGGTTTTTTAATCCAATGCCCACGCTTACACTTTATAAAAAATCTACCTGTTATATTTTAGGTTTGGAATTGTCGGTTCGATTACTAGTAAAAAAAGGAAAAAAAAAAGAAATCTATCATTTAGTCTTAATAATCTTGCAATATTGGCAACATTTAATCAATAATTACGCACATGTCTGACAAGGTTTGAATGCATGTTGTTGGATAGGGATCGATTTTTATCCTTCTATTGATAATAATAATTGACATTCAAGTAGGATTAATTTTTTTATTTTGCTATCCGGCCAGGTGAAACCCGATGTGCTTGTTCGGGTAACTTTCAGCCCGAAGTTCCAATAGAAGATTTGTCTCATGTATTGAAGAATTTGATTCACATAACCAAACAAGAGGAAGTGGAGGTCGTGGATGTCTCATTCAATGTTACTATCCGCAAGGGTAAAGGTGGGTAGAAGATAACGGGAAACAAAAGGGAAGAACCTTGTGAAATTAGACCACCTATGTTGTTCATTGTACCAATATTATCGAACTCGTCAAGTTGGACCATTGTTATTGTATTCGTCTAGTTTTTTAAATTACGCGACGTTAAGTTTGTATGCATTTCTTTTGAAGTTTGAACATTGTAGACCTTAAGTTTGTCTGCTTGAAGTATTATTTAGTAAAGTGTGTGCACACCTGTTAAAAGAGAGTATCCAACTATACTTCTAAACAGCTGAACTACCTTATTTGACTTTGTGTGCTTAATGCATGCAGAATTATCTGTCGAAAATATACTGGAAGTTTAGAGATCATGGACTCCATTTTTTAAAATATTGAATATCAGATATTCTACTTCATTCATCTCAACATCTAGGGGTTTAAATAGCTATGGTAACATCAAATAATAGATTTCATAAATGTATAGTAATAGTCTCAACAACATTGTACCATCCCAATTTGACTTCAATTTACATGCCAAAAAACAAAACATTGGACATTACAAAATACAACTTCTGTTGAAATAACAGCCACCGAACTGTCGACTTTAGTATATGGCTGCTTCACAATTGTTCCATGCTTGATCTAAACAATATGGATGCTTCAATATGACTGTAGTATATGTCTGCTTCAATATGAATTTTGTATATGGCTGTTTCAAATGTTCTATGCTTAACAATATGGTTACTTCATAATGAAAATCATAGAATAGTTAAAACGTAACCAAATTCAGACCATGATCTAAACAAGGCAATTACTAGTTTACTAAAGCAGTACCAGCTCATTAACATGCAAAAGGAGACAAGAAAAGCTAAAATGGACTGTACGTTCCGCCACAGATTGCCTCAAAAACCAAAAACACCGAAGTCAGAAATGATGTCCTTAATGTGGCTGTGGAACATCAAGAGAAACTGTTTGATTGTACGTCGTCGTCGTTGGACTAGATTTAAGACCACCTGACTGCACTTCAAGCGACACCATGGGGGTTGGAATGAAATGGAAAGTTTATTCTTCCGCAGGATTATGGTCCGTTGATGCTAGCTTTCTTCTGTCTACGACTATTTTACCCTGTCAAATGCATACATCATGTAATCAAATTACACACATTATCCAACAAATATATGATGAACATTTAAAAAAACAAAGCAAATGTTTAAATTGTAAAAAATATAAAACCTAGATTACATCATCACATTCAATACCAGGCCAGTTTCAGGAATTGTAGACAATATCCACACTAAGTCAACCAACATAGAAATAATATTCCACCAGAACTAATAGGTATGCAACTAAATTTTCCAATGCAATAAAAATTACGAATTACAAATCATAGAGCTTAAAAAATAAAAACTTTCAAACTAGTATATGAGATGGAAGCTTTAACACTGTAACTGAGTAGCTATCCAAGTTGAACGGAAATTGCAAGTGATGGAAAATGCACATCGGTCAAATATTACCCCCAATATTTTCTTTAAATAACAATATTATCCCAAAGTCAGTTCACCTTATGAACTCGTCCTTTGCAGTAAAAAAAAAGTTTGGGAACTACCTTTGTGTGGCTCTTCCATTTGCTTGAAGTACATAAATGAAATGGGTGGTGCTTCTTTACGCTTGAGTTGGGCTCTTGGAGTAGTCAACAATGGCGGGAGGACCTTGGGTAATTGATTTTCTTGATTTCGTGCTTAAGGTTTTGATTGTCGACTTGATTACGAATTGGGGGATTTAGGGTTTTGGTTTCGATTTCGATTAAGAAGATTTCAAGAAATGAAATTGATTTTCTTCCCGTTTCTAGTTTGTATTTTGTGTTATCAAAGTGAAATGTCTGTTCTATTATGCTGACTTGGAGCTAAGTTGGCAATTAACATCGCATTTGGAGAATATTAACCGGCCAGCTCAACTTTTCGTCCGCCACGTTAGCACTTCTACTAACAGATTTCAACTGGTGAGTAATGGACAGTAACAGAGTATAGTTCAGTGGCTAATGGGATAATTTTGAAAGTTTGGTAAGTAAGTCGTGACATTGTATAAAGTTCGGTGGCCATTGAAACATCTAACTCCGAATAATGTTTTGTGTATGGTTGACAAGAAATTTGACAATTGGTGTTAATTCAAATTCGAATGGACGGGAAAGTGTGTGGTGTTTAAAAACTGGCAACTCAACCTTCAACACGTGGCACATTGTCAAACTTGATGTCAAAAATATTGTACTTGTAGCATGGTTGGACCTAGACGCAATTTTGGGTAGGGAAAATTGTACAAATAGCCCCCCAACCATTCAAGGCATGGCAAAATGCTCCTCCCGTCTCGTCCGGAATGTCCGAGGAATATGATTCGACTTCTATTTTAATTTTTAATTTTTTTTGTCTTGTATTAAGAGCAAATAATTTAAATTCAAATAATGGAGAAAGATAGTTAAAAATCAAAATATTTTAATCCCTGCTCGCCCTAATTTGCCTCCAAAAAAACCTCAATGGGGAATGATATGGAGAGACCACCCCCTAAACGGCTAAAAGTGTCTCTCTATTTTTTGACAACATCGTTGACAATCGATAGATTTTAGCTTTTAGGTACACTCTTTTTCGTCAATTTTTAATTTTTACAATTAAGAGTGTGACTACACCTCTCATGCTTACCTTTGAATATCGAAACAATTAAGCTACACATAGAGAATTCTTTCGCCAAAATTCATACAAATGCACACTTGTCAAAATTTGATTTGCTGTTGACGAAAAGAAATTACCAATCAGGTGCTCCATTACCTTTAGAGAATCTATAAGCTTGTAAATAGAGATGGCAAATG